TATATCAAACATCATAGTTTCAAAGTATAACCTTATAATTATTTCAGGAAACTCAAAGAAGACATCCAGCTACACTGTTGTTCAGCAGTCAACAGCCTCAGAGTCGTCACGTCCACAAGAATCAGAGACTCTGCAGTGTTCAGTTCTCTCTGAGTCAGAGAACAATTCATGTTCAGAAGATCTAAGCATGTTCTGGTTCAAAGCTGGATCCAACAGACCCTATCCAAATATCATCTACACTGATACTAAAAGAGCTAATAACTGTGAGAAAAGTCCAAATACCCGAAGAAAATGTACCTATAACTTCCCCAAGAACATCAGCTCCTCTGATCCTGGGACTTACTACTGTGCTGTGGCTACATGTGGAGAAATCTTATTAGGAAATGTAATCAGAAAGGAAGGAGGTAATGTACACACATTGAGAAATATGCACAATAATAAGTGAATATTTCAAAGGCTTACAGATGCTCATGTTTCTTTTTTCTCTTTTCTAGGTCAAACACCACTTTATAAAATTCCGATTCTGCTGATCACAATAACCATTATGACCTTTTCTCTGACTGTAAATGTAATTTTGATCTGTTACCAAAGTCACGACTTAGCAGGTCAAATCATCAAAGGTAAGTGTTCTTTACTGAACAATATTCAATTTTTACTCTACTTGAAATGTTGGTATTTATAGAAGAAAGTAAAAACCTCTCTTCATATTTTACATTTAAATATGAGCCATCTGACATGTGATTAATTATTTAAAATTAAATTATATCAATAATACATATTGCTGTTTGTTCTAAATGTGCAGAAAGTTCCTCTGAAGAAGAGAGGAAAAAGTTCAACCAACAAAGAGATGAAATTGTAGGTAGTGATTAGAAAAAACATCACAAACGTGTTATTTCAGTAAATTTGATACTGAAGGCTTTAATTTATATAATTTTAAATGAAATGTATTTCTTTTCACAGCCTGAGGACAGGATCTGGTCTACTGTGCGTTACATTTTTTTGAATGAAAGATGCCTAGAGGAACAAAGAAGAGCAAATTGAAGATTAAAAAAAATCTGTTTGAATGAATGTCGAGATGAAATTTGTACTCTTTCCCAAAAACAACGCCTTTCTCCTTGTGTTATCACAGCTTTGTTTTATTTTTATGTTTTACAAGTTGTTTATTTTAGAAAAATAATGTTACATATATCACAGGCCGTAGCAACCAAGCCTATCCAGTGCTGTTTTCAATTATTTACAGATCCTGAAAATAAGCTTTCTAATAAGGTGAAACTTATGAAAATTGAATAAGACCTGTATATATCAATGCTGGAACTCTGCAAAGAGCATTAAGTTTAAAAACCAGACCATGAAAATTTAAACACCATAATTGAAAACATTGAAAAATCAAACAGAACAATTGAACAAAGAAAATGTACACTTTAAATTTTTAAATAGCAAAAATAAACAGATAATACTGCACTCTCGAAACCAATAAAATTGTTCAGTGTAATCACTCAACAAACGTGAATAACTGACACAAAAACATAACACGAATAAACTAAGAATACGCAGAGAAAATTGGAACACACAAATAAAAGAAAGAATACACAAACAATGATCTGGCCCTGATAGCTGGACCGAACCATATATATAGCAGAGGGAGCGGGTGGATGAGATCATTGATAATTAGAGAACTGGGAGGGAACAGCAGATGAATGAAGTGAGTAATCAGATCAGCTACCGGGGCTGCGATCATGACACACCTAGTTTGCACATATCTGCAGAAAAAGGTGAGCGAGGCAGAAAATATTACTCTTCCTCCTTTCTTTTAAGTATCACAGAGTATAAATTGTGTAAATATGCTTCTGCTTTGAGTTTTATACTATTTGATCTTCGTTAGCAAGGAAGTAAGTGTAAATTTCTCTAATTGTAAAACAGAATTTACAGTTTTTGTTTCCTACATACAACCTGTACATCAAGATTTTTTTTTATTGCTGCTGTGATGCTCAATATGCAAATTAATGCATTTAGATTCTACAAATTCCTATTTTCTTCTCAAAACCTTTCCCTCATAGACATAAAACATAAGCTAAAATTCCATGTTGAAGACTATTATCAGCCTCAAATGGATCACCTGCTGATGTCATTCATTCAGGTTAAGCCGGTCAACATTGGGACCGCAGCCAGTCGTATTTCAAGATCCCCTTAATTTGACTTCAGCCCAGCTTCTCTCCAGATGAACCTTCATCCACCTCTGCACCACCTCTTCCCAAACTCTCAGAATATTCTGTCCCTCTCATCTTCTGGCTTAATTCACCCCCACTGTCCAGGCCCGGGGAGAAGAGTACTCCAGTACGTTTTCAAAGTGACTCATCCCACAAAATGTCAAGTCACAGCAGCACAGTCTAACTGCTGCCACACACTGCCCTTTCATTGCATTTCCGAAAAAGGCCATAAACATTTGAAAGTGGTTTACAAAACATATCCCTTTGACTTTATTACCAAATGACTCTGTAAATACACAGTGAATATGTCTCTTTTAGGGGTTACAGAGTTTTTCCTTCGCGAAGGCTGCAAGTTGTACTTGAACCAAGAAGAAGATGTTTTGAATATAAGCAATAACACAATGAGTGATAACAAATGGATAACTATCATTATTCATTATAGGAAACACTGAGACAACTTCAAGCTACCGAGTTGTTCTGCAGCCAGCTGTTTTAGACCCATCCCTCCCAGCAGACTAAGATACTCTGCAGTATTCACTCACCTGAGGTCCGTTTCACAAAGCGGGTTTACTAAAAACTCTAAGATTTCTAAACCTGAAATATGGGAAGGTCTGAGTTTTCCACTTCAAAAATGGAATTTCATTAACCTGCTTCAGTCCCCATATTAACATTCTCCACAAAGCTGAGAAGTTTATGTGAGAGCTTTTTACTAGTGTTTGTGTGAGGTTTTCAGTAGGTTATACACTAGTTTATGTGACAGCTTTTCACTAGTGTTTATGCACGTGTATCAGTATATTATATAGAAGAGTTAAATTTGATATGTGTATATGCAAGTTAATTCTGATTTATGTCCCTGGGGGCACCTCATACATTTCTCCTTGTGAACGCTTTGTTTAAAAGTTGCTGTTCTCATAGCTCATACAAGCTCACTGTGCCCAACCATCCGCCTAAATCCCTCAATCACTATAAAGAGCAGACACTATACTGTATAGTGAATTCCATCAACGTACCTTTTTGGACAGACCACTGCGTGGTACCTGCGCCATCTTTGTTAATATTCGTATCTGTCGGGTAGCGGCAGCCTATAGTGACAGTGGGCCGCTGTAACAGCAAATCCCATAATGCTTTGTGAGGAGAGCTCTCCGCACAAAGCATTCTGGGATATATCTGCCTCTTCTGAGGCTTTTCTTTTCCTATCATACACTTCGTAGAAACTTTTTATCTCAGGACCCTAGGCCATTTTCAAAGAACCACAGTGATATCGCCTTCAGACTCGGTCATTATGCAGTTAAGGAATTGGAGATTAAAAGTTATCAAAGGTTTTCGTTTTTGAGCATGTTGAAGGGGTCTCCAGGGGCCCTGAAGTTAGGGTAGCCTACTTTTCAAGAAATTCAAAATGGAATAACTTTTACAAAAAAATTCAAATCGAACCAAGTTTTGCAGTAAAGAGCCCCTTTGGGTGCTTGATGATACTGTATGGTCAAATGATAACATCACCTAAGCCCCTCCCCCTGAGGGAAGAAAGCCACTTTTTTCACTTGGGAGGGTCCTTTTCAGTCATTTTAAACATCAGCACCTTGAAACTAGGTCAGAAGGCAGAAAACATGTTGGTCTAAGTTCATTTAAAGCGCAGAGGGTTTTAGTTAAATGAAGTTGCCAAGGCGACCTGGCAAAGTGAGGCGTTTTGCCATGACCATATTGGCTCTCATCTCCTCATAGATCCTTCAATCTTCCCCAAAGTCACTATGATGGAACCTGATCCAAGCCCAAAGAAAAATATAGGCCAATAATTGGTGGGCATGGCTTACTTTTTCTACAGCGCCACCTAGAAAGACTAAAACAACCAGCCCCAAGCCACGCAATTACTTACGACTATGAAAGTTGGCAAACATGTTTAACCACCAGGACCTACAAAAATGCCTCATGGAGCCATGGTCTAAACCCCACAGGAAGTCAGCCATTTTGGATTGAAATTAAAATTTTGGCTGTAATTTTGCACTTTAAAGCTTCTATATTTGTCATGAAACGAGGACAGATGGACCCAGCATTTGAGGAGAGACAGCCAGTAGGAAAGTACAAAACATTTATATAATGAACAAAACTAAAAGGGGAGCTGCTAGGATCTGTGGCATGCGGNTATCTCTTAAAACTTGTTAAGACCTTCTGTGTATTTGTATGTATTTATATAAGCACTCTCAGCTACTTTTGGCTGATAAGCTATATAAATGAAGCCTGATTCCTTATCTAAGGACCTAGAGTAATTGAGCTCTGGTCATCTTTATGTGCTATTTCTGCCCTTACACTGACTCTAAGAGTCACAAAAGAAACCACAAGCAATTGGTGTTTCGTGAATTTAAGACTTCACACATTCTTCGAACATTAGCAGCTGCTTACGTGAAAACCTAACCATTTGTGGCAGAGTTCAAATCAGTCCTCTGGGTTTTCTTTATATTATGGAAGAACCTGTTGGTGGCGCTATCAGAAAAGATATCTGTGCTTAGGTTTTTTTTTTTTTTATCACACAATAGGTGTAAAACCTTGTTGATCAAAGAATTGGGTCAAGTCAAAAGAAAACATGAATGTTAGTTTTAAATTAATTGATAATTGGAAGACAGAGATACATTTAGTTAAACATGGTCTCATTGTGGGAGAAGGCACACTTAGTTTTTTTCTAAAAAAAAAAAAAAAAGAAGAGAAACCAGTTAGATGCACTTTAGAGCTGGATCACCACACCTAATCCTGTTATTAAAGCATCAAGTGTCTTTATGAAGTCAGTGTCATCATGACTCTGTTATGGATCCCAGTCTTTATGCTTTTTTGATATTACTAAAGAACCTGTTGGTGGCACTATTAGAAAAGATATTTGTGCGTAATATTTTCTTTATGCCATTGATGTTAAACTTCTTGATCAAAGAATTGAAGCAGGACAAAAAAAATATGACTATTAGCCTAAAGTCTATTGATAATTGTAAAATAAGAAGAAAGATTTCTAACAAAATAGGGTCTTAAGGTGGGAGGAGGCAATCTTTTTTTTCTGAAAAAAGAAAAACCAGTTAGATGCACTTTAGAGCTGGATCGCCACACCTACTCCTGTTATTAAAGCATCAAGGGTCTTTATCTAGTCAGTGTCATGATGACTCTGTTATGGATCACAGTCTTTATTCTCCATCAAGGATGTAAGTACATTTTGTTTTAAAGTGTAAAACTATTTGAAGTTTGGCATTAACATTTCATTTGGATCATTGATTTTATCTTTTACCCAGATGCCTTAGTTCCTGTGGTCACTGTTCAGCTTGGCGAACCTGTAACCTTTACCTGTGCAAATATGGAGTCCAGAGCATGGATTCACTGGTACAAGCAAACTTCTGGAGATACTCTGAAAATGATTGTAAAGGATATAAACAAACTAAATCCCAATTATAGCCCAGAATTCCCTTCTTCAAGATTCAAATTTACAAATGATGGTAAAATAATTAACCTCACAATTCTGAAGCCAGTTCAACAAGACGAGGGAATGTATCACTGTGCTCTTACAGACTGGGGACAGTCTACTTGGATGGGGACGTATTTGATGGTAAAAGGTAATGTAAGATCTCAGTAT